TAATCAAATTATGTTTCAAATATGCAGTCCTTTTGTTTGACTAGAACTGCGTCATAGCCTTATAAATAAAATCATGCTACACAAACAGGCTCAGTGACAATGATTAAAAATATGGGGACATGTGACACAACATCATTTATCACATAGGTTCTTCCAACGCAACACTTGTCACTTGTCCGTTTGTAGTTCCTGTTTGAGTAGTATTATTTTTACAAGTACAAGCATGATGTACTAAATTCGGAGTGTGATTGTTGGGATTTTGTTTTCCTAAACCAATTTGGTAAGCACATCGCTTACTAATACAATTTGCCCCTCACAAAGATGCCAATTTGTATTTCTTTTTGTTTTAATTGAGCTAAACTTTTATTAACTATGAATAATGGAGCTCCAACTGTATTCATAATGGAATGGTAACACTACTAGTTAGGTTGTGGCCGTTTGGGCGTGGCTTGGCTCATACTTAAGTGGAAATTACAGTCATCTAGAGTTTTAAACTTTCTATTTCAAAATTAAGAGCCTGTCTTACCAAACTTTTTGGCCAGATTTTCATCCAAATTCTTACCATTGGGCTGCACTTATTGACTGCCACTCTCTCAGTCGGACCCCACTAACGATCCTTTTTCTGCTGAAAATCCATGGAAAATCGCTAGCAGACAGAGTCTAAATTTTGCAAGTTTTTTTTTTTTTTCAAAAATCAGATGATAATTAAAATCTTAAATATTAATAATTATATTATAAATTAATTCACCATTCAAATCCTAATCGTTTTCTCCCTCACCTTCGTCTCCCTCTTCTCTTCCTCTCCCATCTCTCTCTACCCACTCCTTACAAAAGGACCGTCGTCGCTAGAGAGCATCACTGCCTAAGACCATTTCACCTTTTGTGGGTTTGAGATGTTTTGATACTAGCTATGACACTTTGGTTGGAGTAGGAGTCGGGCCAGAAGTCGACGGAGGTAACGTGGTGATTACCCCCGATCCATTTACCCATCGGGAGCCGCAGCGATCTTGTACAGAGGCACTTGACGTTGTGAGTGTCATTGCGGGACGGTGCCTACACCTATGTGGCTTTCGACATGACAATGCAATAGTAGCTTGGGGTAGTTTTCATGCTACTGTGGTTTTTAGCGACGGCGTAATAGATTTTCTTTGAGGTGATTTTCATGCCGTCGTCATAGTGGTGATGAGGTATTGACGATAGTGGTAAATATGCTTGGGATGTGGTGGTGGTGGTGGTGTTTATGTTGTTTATGGTGGTTTTGGTAGTGTTAGGGGTTTTTGTCGATTGTGTTGGTGAAGGTGCGGCATTGGTGGTGGATCTGAGGGCGGCGACGGTGACGATGGTAGGGGCTCTAGGGACCTTAGCAGGGAAGACCCTTTGGTCAGCTATTGGTGCTGCTGGTGGGTTATGGTGATGGTAGTACAGGTCGCGATGGTGGTGCTATAGGTGGTTATCAATTCTTTCATCTAATGCAAGTTGGTCCTTGTACTTTAGATTTTTGCCATTTTCCGCCATCTTTTGCTTCATTTCTTTAATTCATTTTCCATTCACACAGTTTTACCTATTAAACATAAAATAAAACAATTTAAAATATATTTTGTCAAAAAAAACTATAAAATGTCGTTATTTTAGGCCTCAAATAAGTGTAAAAATTACACGCAACACATTTGAATTTATATACTGGCAAGATACTGTTGCTTCTTTAATCATTTAAATTTGATGTAAACAACAATAATGACAATCTAGCATCAAGCTGATCTAGATGATGCTCCATTTCCTTACATGTAACTCTGCGATAATAAAAAGCATTAGGAAGAAATTTTGTGACAAAAAGGAAAAAAAAAAGACAGGCAGCTTCATTTCTTGAATATACCCATCTGCTTAAAGTTCTTGCAATATTTGAAGTTGTTAGCGAACTTATGATTGTGCTAAAGCATTTCTTTAAAAGTTGGGATTGTATTTGATTAAACTGCATAAATCATATCTATAAGTTATACAAAGTTTACGAAGGAAGACGGTATTAAAAAATCTGAATTCGAGAATAATGTTCTCTTTGAAAAATAATATAATTTGGTCTTTGGATGATTCTAGAATCTATATTTAACTTAAATTTTTCACAAAATCGACCGTTACTAGATGACTGTTAATTTGAAAACCACTAAATGCAGCGCATGAACATTTTATGGCCACCTTTGAGTTATCTTAACTAAGGGAATTCAAATTTTGTAGGCACTAAAGCAGTTACCTCGAGAAAAGGTTCAAGTAGCTACAAAGTTCGGTGTAGCCGGATTTGATGCTTCCGGAGTTATAGTGAAAGGTACACCTGAATATGCTCGCTCTTGCTGTGAGGCTAGCCTCAAGAGTCTTGATGTGGACTATATCGATCTTTACTACATACATCGAATTGATTCTACCGTGCCTATTGAATACACAGTGAGTTTTTTTCCTGAAGTTTTATGTCTCATATACCCATTTAGCTTAGTGGCCATAAACCAAATTTTATGTTGGCTTGCACTTGTATCTCTAATTATCATGCTTCCCATTTTACTAAAAATATGATCGCTCTTGTTGATAAAGTTATTTCTGAATTGCAGATGGGAGAACTTAAAAAACTAGTCAATGAAGGTAAAATAAAATATATTGGATTATCTGAAGCTAGCCCAGATACAATAAGGAGGGCTCATGCAGTTCATCCTATTACTGCTATTGAAATGGACTATTCTCTTTGGATCCGTGATATCGAAGATGAAATAATTCCACTTTGCAGGTTTCCCATATTTCTCAGATATTCGTGTTGTAACCCTAATTATATATTACATTTTCAGTTAACATTTTGGCAAATTGCTATTTAAGTGGAAACTTAGAGCTGATGTTTGAATTTTAGATTATTTTTGCATAATTTAAATTATTTGATTTCATCTTCCTACTAGGATTAAAATTGGAATGCTGAACTCCTATTTTCTATTCTAATACTTCCATGATTTTGTATATTTTCTTCCTGAAATTGATTTTGCATTATTAATGGGTTGAAACTACCATCTCAGTCATTGTTTTGAACATTTTGCTTTTAACAAGATTACAAAAGTATTTTTCCTCTTTTCTATCAATGCTTCAATATCCTGATTTATCTTCTTTCCTTCATCTTATTGTCATTCTTCCTACTCAGAGATTTTGATCTCATATAGTTTTTCTTGTCTTTTCGGAAATGGATTATAGGGAACTTGGGATCGGAATAGTTCCGTACAGTCCCTTAGGTCGAGGTTTTTTTGCTGGAAAGGCTGTAGTTGAAAGCGCAGATCCAAATAGCTCATTGGTGTGTATGCATCTAATCTTTTAATTTTCGTTGTGTAATATCTTCGTCAGTATCCAAGATCATTTATTAGTTTCTTCGTTTTTGTAATCTCTAGTTGCTGAAAAGTTTTGTAATTTTCGTACCATCAGACTGATCACCCAAGGCTTAAGGGGGAGAACTTTGATAAGAACAAGGCCATATATTTTCGTATGGAAGCATTGGCTAAGAAGCATGGATGCACTCCCGCTCAACTTGCAATTGCATGGGTTCTTCACCAAGGAGATGATGTTGTACCTATTCCAGGTAAGCAATCATATTAGAAGCTTTGCTTTAAATACTATAGTAGAAACCATGTTGGACAGATTGGAAATGTAGAGTATTAAAGAAATTGGAACTATCTGTTTAATAAACTTTGCCATTGACCTCACACTAATATTCATACTGAAAAGTTTCTTTCATCTCCGTGAGTACAAGAATATTCATTCCAGTAGCATGTACATGGAGATCATCTTCGAGATGCGTGCATTCTGTTCTTTTGATTAGCTTAGAACCTTAATGAACTGCATTTCTTGACGTTTCTTATCCCTTCAAACTGTGCAAATTGGGCTTTCCAAGATTAAATTTTCCATCACATTGAGCTCAACCAATGGTTAAGCTTCTCACCCTATCAGCTATCTAGACAGGTATGAGGAGTATTAATTTTGCCGCCACATTGATTTCTACAGCTATCGTTACTAGATTAATGCAGATATCACCAACAGGTGTTTAACAATTCAGACCTAAGTGGAAAGTGAGGCAAGATGTTTTGCTGAAGAATATATGCACAATTCATGACTATGAGTCTAGGACCGGTTTAGTTTTTTCAGCTTGTAGTAAATAGCGTGCTTTAGACTTTGCCCTAAACAGTTTATTTGCTTGAGATCCCTTATTTGTGAATTTTGATAGAATATATCACTAACTGCCCCTACTGTGTGACAGTTAATTACTCGGCACCTCATGTATTAGGGATGGGTTTGAAAACCATCATTTCTTCAAAGATTCCTATTTATGTTATTCCTTTTCTTTCTACCCTGTTCTTCCAAGGAAATGAAAGGGTTAGAATGAGAGTAAAATAATAACTTATCTGCTTGTGCTAGCTTTATATTAATTTGGGATCACTTAGCAAGAGCCATCTCATGCGCATTGGACGTGAAGGAAATAGAGCATTCGACGTGCATGAATAACTATAGAAGATGGGCCTAGAATATTAGAATATGAGATGATCAATCCTATCCCTTGGGGAGTTCATATCATTGAGTATTATCTTTTATAACTATGAGTCTTGGTTTCTTAATTAGATTTCAGTATGCTTCTTGGATGGTTATCATAAATTATTGTTGTTATGAATAGGATAAAACTTTATTCTCCCTGCACTTTCAAGTTGTGGGGTGTCGACCTATGTTAGAACTAGTAATCTTATGCATTTGAGCCCGCATTCTTCACTGTTTAAGATATTTTTTTTTTCATTTGTTGGACTTGTTCCTAATATTATTTTCCATCATCTTTATGCATGTAGGCCTTATAATTAATAGCCATTTTGGCCAATTTTTCCTAGATAGAAAGAGTTGGAAAGCTGGATCATGAAGTAAGATCATTTCATATCTAGTTTACGTATGTCATTCCAAATTTCGTGAAACAATAACACGAAGTGAGGCCAAGTTGTGATATAGTCACTTTCTTCCTCGGAGAGTCTATGTACTTGAGCATTATTAGGTAAAGTTTGATAAGAATTTGGTATACTTAGTCTGTTATCACTGGAAAATTGCTGTCAATTGTCAATGCTGGAAGAAATTTTCCTTCGAAACCCATATGCAATGGATAGTGACTGAAGTGTATATTATTATATTGATCTCATGGATTGTGTTGTTCTTAATGATAATTTATCTTTCAATCTTGTAATATTTGTAGGTACAACCAAAATTAAGAATCTCCACAGCAATATTGATTCTCTAAAAATGAAGCTTACAAAAGATGATTTGAAAGAGATAACCGATGCGGTTCCCATCAATGAAGTAGCAGGGTCGAAGAGTTCTAATGAGGCTTTTCATAAGATTACATGGGAATTTGTGAAGACTCCACTCCCAAAATGAACCAGTAAAATGCAGAGTTATATGTGAATTATGTTTTGGAATAACGGGAGCTCATAGGTATGCTCATATTTCATGCAATTTCGTCTTTTATTCAAATTTTGAAGAATTCCAATTCTTCAGGATTTGATTGTTAAATAATGTTGCACACTTTCAATCCCCTGTTGTTTTCACTGGTTTGTATTGGCTACTAGCAGATGAATAGCAGTCTACTATCAGATGTCCTATTGAATAGTTGAACCTTTTTTTTAATTATTTTAGCGTGTTATAGTCGACTTGAATTAGTTTAATACAAAGTTTATACGCGTCCTTTTGTCTGACTAGAACTGCGTCATAGCCTTATAAATAAAATCATGCTACACAAACAGGCTCAGATGATTAAAAATATGGGGACGCGTGGCACAACATCATTGGATAGTTTGGAAAAAAAAACCCTTATCCACATAGGTTCTTCCAACGCAACACTTGTCACTTGTCCGTTTGTAGTTCCTGTTTGAGTAGTATTATTCTTACAAGTACAAGCATGATGTACTAAATTCGGAGTGTGATTGTTGGGATTTTGTTTTCCTAAACCAATTTGGTAAGCACATCGCTTACTAATACAATTTGCCCCTCATAAAGATGCCAATTTGTATTTCTTTTTGTTTTAATTGAGCTAAACTTTTATTAACTATGAATAATGGAGCTCCAACTGTATTCATCATGGAATGGTAACACTACTAGTTAGGTTGTGGCCGTTTTGGTGTGGCTTGGCTCATACTTATGTGGAAATTACAGTCATCTAGAGTTTTAAACTTTCTATTTCAAAATTAAGAGCCTGTCTGACCAAACTTTTGGCTAGATTTTCATCCAAATTCTAACCGTTGGGTCGCACTTCTTGACTGCCACTCTCTCAGCGGGGCCCCACTAACGATCCTTTTTCTACTGAAAATCCATGGAAAATCGCTAACAGACAGAGCCTAAATTTTACAAGTTTTTTTTTCAAAAATCAGATGATAATTAAAATCTTAAATATTAATAATTATATTATAAATTAATTCACCATTCAAATCCTAATAGTTTTCTCCCTCACCTTCCTCTCCCTCTTCTCTTCCTCTCCCATCTCTCTCTACCCACTCCTTACAAAAGGACCGTCGTCGCTGGAGAGCATCACTGCCTGAGACCATTTCACCTTTTGTTGGGTTGAGATGTTTTGATACTAGCTGTGACACTTTGGTTGGAGGAGGAGTCGGGCCAGAAGTCGGCGAAGGTAACGTGGCGATTACCCCCGATCCATTTACCCACCGGGAGCCGCAGCGACCTTGTACAGAGGCACTTGACGTTGTGAGTGTCGTTGCGGGACGGTGCCTACACCTATGTAGCTTTCGACATCACGATGCAATAGTAGCTGGGGTAGTTTTCATGCTACAGTGGTTTTTAGCGACGACGTAATAGATTTTCTTTGAGGTGATTTTCATGCTGTCGTCGTAGTGGTGATGAGGTGGTGAGGTATTGACGATAGTGGTGAATTTGCTTGGGATGTGGTGGTGGTGGTGTTTATGTTGTTTATGGTGGTTTTGGTAGTGTTAGGGGTTTTTGTCGATTGTGTTGGTGAAGGTGCAGCATTGGTGGTGGATCTAAGGGCGACGACGGCAACGATGGTAGGGGCTCTAGGGACCTAGCAGGGAAGACCCTTTGGTCAGCTATTGGTGCTGCTGGTGGGTTATGGTGATGGTAGTACAGGCCGCGATGGTGGTGCTATAGGTGGTTGGTGCAAGTGGTGGTGGATCTCGCGGTGGTGGTCAGGTGTTGGTTTTGATTTTTGTTGTTGGTGTGGTGGTGGTGATTTCTATATTTTTGTGGTGTTGGGGGTTTAGGGTGGTTTTTATTGATGGTGCTGGTTGAGGCGATGGCTGTGATGTTGAGGATGGTGGTGGGGCGGTGGTTGTGACTAGGATGGCGTGGATTGGAGGTGTTTGTGATCAATTATTTGGTTGATTGTGACAAATAAATTGGTTCACTTTCGACCAATAAATAATATATGACCAATAATTTGAGATTGTGACCAATACATTGAATATTTTGTAATCAATAAATAATATTTTACCGATAACTTGTAATCAATAAATAATATGTGAGTTAAAAATTTGAGTCGTGACTTATAAACTGTGACTTGCGATCGATAAATAAATTGTGAATTGCGATCGATAAATAAATTGTGACTTATAATTGTTTTGATGTGTGACCGATAAATAAATTGTGACTTATAAATTTTTTGATTTGTGATTATAAAATAATTTATGACCTATAAAATTTCGATTTGTGATCAAGAAATAATTTGTGACCAATTAATTCGATAATTTGTGATTAATGGTATATAATTGTGACCTTAATATATTTTTAATTAATTATTTCATAAATAAAATTTAATTTATATCTGATTTTTGAAATAATAAACTATGTTTCTTAATTTTGAAATAGGTCAAACGTAATCTCTTAAATTTGAAATTTTCGCCATATTTAAAGCTACCTAGTTCGGTCTAGATGAGTCGTTTGGGCCCAAACGTTTGACATGTTGTCAATGACATGCCCAATCAAAATTGAAACAAAATAAGTTTTTTTTGTCTCCTTTTGAAACAAAGTTTTTTTAAGGGTAATTGGCGCAAAACGTTCCTATCTTTGAAGGTTTTTGTGGAAAACGTCAATACCTTTCATTTTTTTAGCGCAAAACGACCCTACCTTTCACATTCTTTGCGTTGAACGTCATTTTTAACATAAAATGACAATTATACCCTCCTATATAAATAACACAAAAAAGAAAAGAAAAGAAAAGAAAAATAAATAATAAATTGCAACATGCTCCTAAACTTTTTTAAAAATACAAATCAGTCCAAAAAAGTGGCGATTTTTTGCCCTTTTTTTCAACCCAAATGTGTACAAATTCCTGCAGCCTCCGACCACCTAAGCCCTCCGGACGTTGACACCGGTCAACAGCCCTCCAATTCCCCCCTTCAATTACCACCCAACCACTCCCAATTTCATCAACTGTAGTGGTCGAAATTAATGCTAAAAGTTCACTGTCCTCAAATCTAAAAATCGTCGAAAATTACATTCCGGCCACCCCCATGATCGGAACTCGCCTCCTATCAATTGCCTATCACCAGACGACCACACACATGCCAACAATTTACAACAAATATCAACAAAAAAAAAATAATTTTTAATGCCTAATTTTTTTGCCAGTCGCAACACAGCATACGAACTTCTCAAATTCCGGTGCTGTCCGGAACAACCATGGTCGCGGACCACCGGGGCTAGGTCCCTCTTCACCAGGCGCACCTAGCCTAACCATGGGTCTAGGTCAATTTTGACCTGAAGCCGTTCAATTCATGGGAGAAATACTATGTTCCAAAAATTGTAATTGGATTTCGACCTGAAGTTCTAACGAATCCAAGCAAAATTGTGGAAGACCCATGGGTGGAAGAGCTTCGCCATGCAATAGTCGTGACTGCGTTATTTTCAGTTTCAAATTGAACCTATTGGATAAGTGTTTTGAATGAATTGCCCACATGGCTGAGGTCGTCTGAGTGTGGGCAACCGGATGGTGGTGGTTCGCGATCCTGTTGCTAGCCGGAGGTGCGACTTCCAGCAATTTGTCCATTTTTCGAGTAGTTAATTTTGCTTGCTGATTTCTGCCGAATTATTGGATGATATGGGGAATTTTTGGGATGGAATTGTAGAGGGTGTTGAGGAGATTGTGTTGGTACCGATATCCGGAGGTTGTGGGGGTGGAGAAAAGTAGATGTAGTTATCAGACGGTGGAGGTGGTGGAGGGAGGTGGAGGAAAAGAGAGTGTGTTTTTGTTATTTTTAATATTTTCATAAGTTTTGGACTGATTTGCATTTTTAAAAAAGTTTAGGAGCAGATTGCAATTTATTCTTTATTTTTCTTTTCTTTTCTTTTTTGTTTTATTTATACATGAGGGCATATTGGTCATTTATGTTAAAAAATGGTGAAAATGACGTTCAGCGCAAAGAATGTGAAAGGTAGGGACGTTCTGTGCCAAAAAACGAAAGGTAATGACGTTTTCCACAAAAACCTTCAAAGATAGGGACGTTTTGTGCCAATTGCCCTTTCTTTAATTTTCATACTCATTTTCAACCACATATTCATATAATAAGCTTCTGATTGGTGGTCATGTTTTTGGAAAAACTTTGTTTTGAATAGTGAATTTTTGGAGAATGTGTGATTAAAAAGTATATAAAAGTTTGAGGTTTACGTGTAGAATATTTTATTGTGTAAAGTAGTAGAAAATGAGTATGTTTAAAAAATAGTTTCGAAATAATGAGAGATAAACATGGGCTAAAATAATTTTTCTTTATTTTTTCATCACATATCTTTCAAAAGATTACTATTTAAAATATTATTGTTTTCAAAATAATGTGCCAGGGACTTTTTGTCTATGATGGTACCACGATACATGTTATGAAGTTTTGACATCAGCACACTTTCTACTTTTATAATTTTTATGTTGTTATTATTATTATTTTGATTTTTTCAAATTTTATTATTCTTCAATTTTAGAATTTGGGGAAAAAGAAATTATTGTAGTAGTGAAAACTGACAAGTTGACCGTAATTATATGGTAAACTTTTGGGTTAAATCCACAACTGGTTACCTAACTTTATACTTATTGTCATCATGACCACTTAATTTTATACTTAGTGTCACCATGACTAATCAACTTTATACTTAGTGTCACCATGATCATCTAATTTCATATAACGTTTTACCATGGTCACTCAACTTCTTTTCACCATTTTCACTAATTTTAAAAGGGGTAAAATTTTGCATTATATTATATAAAATATATTTTTTAAATGATAAAATAAAAACTTAGTTTAAAATATTTTTTTAATTTTTTCAAATTTTATTATTCTTCAATTTTAGAATTTGGGGAAAAAGAAATTATTGTAGTAGTGGAAACTGACAAGTTGACTGTAATTATATGGTAAACTTTTGGGTGAAATCCACGACTGGTCACCCAACTTTATACTTATTGTTACTATTATCACTCAACTTTATACTTAGTGTCACCGTAATCATCCAATTTCATATGACATTTCATCATAGTCACTGAACTCATTTTCACCATTTTCACTAATTTTAAAGGGTGTAAAATTTTGCATTATATTATATAAAATATTTTTTTAAAAATAATAAAATAAAAACTTATTTTAAAATAATAAAGTAAAATAAAAATTTATTTTAAAAAAATGTTAAAAAAATAAAATAAAAACTTACTTTTAAAAAAAAATTAAAATAAAAAAAAACCTTATTTAAAAAAAAGTTAGAAAAATAATTAAAAAGTTATTTAAACAAAACATTACTTATAAAATAAAAACTTATTTTTTAAAAAAATATATTATATATATATAATGCAAAGTTATCATTTTACCTTTTTTAAAATTAGTGAAAAATGGTGAAAAGAAGTTTGGTGGCCATAATAAAATGTTATATGAAATTTGGTGGTTATGGTGAAATAAAATCAAATTGTGTGGTCATGATGATACTAAATATAAAGTTTGGTGTCCATTATAAAACAAAATCAAATTGAGTGATCGTTGTAACACTAAATATAAATGTTGGTGGCTATAGTAAAATAAAATCAAATTAGACGACCATGGTAATAATAAGTGTGTTTGGTGGGATTAAAATTAGATTTTTAGTATATTGTAACAGAAGCTTTTGAAATGTTTGGTTGAAAAGCTGTGACTCATTAAATATGTGATTAATATTGATTGTTTAACTTTAAATTACATTAAAATCTGATTTTAATTCGATAATAGACAAACAGGTTTTAAGTATAAAGTTGTGTGGCAATTGGTGGACAGGTTGACCGTAATTGTAGGTAAGCTTTTTGAAGACATTCTTATATGGGCATACTTTAGATCCGAGATTTTCATTCATGTTATATTACCTTTTGAGAATTGATGTCCCTTTAATTTTTTATTTGCTATAATAAATTTAAAAGTACTTGTTCTGAAATTTTATATGCAAAAGATGGCGGCGACATTAGCTTGGTTCCGAGCATGGTGGTGGTGGTGGGAGTGGATTATTCGACTCATACATGGACACTGTGAAGCCCCATTGTGTGATCCAACGAATAAACTTTCAAAATCTTCCTTGGCTCAATCGGCTTGCTCGATACTACACTTGAGTAGTGAACGCACTTTCACTCTGCTCCATTTTCACACAAATAAAATCATCTTTCTTCGAAATTTTTTTTTTTAATAATTTGACTTAGTAAATAAAGAATTAAATTTTACCACTGACGAATTCATGAGCACCTCATAATGTAGCAAAAACAATATTCGAAGCAGTTGCAACTAACCAAATAATTACATTCCCATTCCAACACTAAATAATAATTTCTTGCTGGAAGATTACAAAAGTTCTTACACAACATAACAAGCACGCGAATGCTTCGCTAACTGCAATTTCACAGATAACTGGTTCTGATTTCCCAGAAGCTAAGAGTCGCTTTTTACTCGGATCCGTCAATCTCAATTTCTGGAATTTGAAGTTGCCCGTCCATCATTGATGCTCTGTAAGAGAATAGATGAAAAAAAAAAAAAGTGTTTGGAAGATGCACGAGAAGATAATAAGAGTTGGGCATCACAAGTGCAACAATACTCTCATTGCATACCAATCGTTTAAATGATCTAGTTTGTACAGCTCTCTTCACTTTCTTCCAATCCGGTTTGGCACGATCTAAAGCCTGAGGCAGAATATACTCTTTTTTAAAACCGAAATATAAAAAACCAAGAATAAAATAAAAATAAAATTAGAAGCAATCACTAGACCATTTGAACACGGAAATAGTGAAAGCATGAAACAGATGACAAGTATCAAAAGACTATATTATTATAAGAGAATATTTTATCAACATTGCACAGTTGCACATCAAACAGCTCAAATAACAAGACCATTTTAATATTTTTCTTTTCATTTTTTTTTTCCTTCTTCTATTTTTTTTCTGAAACCTATTTTCTTCTATTTTTTTTAATTCAAAACAAGGGCATCATAGGTTTTTCAACACAGGGTTTGACTTTTTAATGCTTCAACTAAGTTTTCGTTACATGGACACCCAATCTTACAACGTTCAATAGGTTGGGGAGTCAAATATTCACTATTGAAGGTTGAGGAGTTGTTTCCACAATACTTAGGTTGGGTAGCTCAGCCCTGATTTTCCCTTCATATTTTAAAAAATGTTGAACTTATTCTTGAATTCATCATTCAATCATTCGGCTAAATGAAGCCTACTACATGCCAAACATTCAGAATTCAGAGAGAAATATATCTCAGCAATGATTCATCAGTAAAAGACACTCATCGAGATTAAAGATGTCAAACCATTACCTCTATCAGTGACTCTACACGTCGCCTCATCCGAGTATGCATGAAACCTTCTGAACACTGTTCACCATAAGAGAAATACTGATTCGATGGCCAAAAACATAGAAATCACACTTTCAAAGCAAGTTTAATTAAGCATGTGGTTGACCAAGAAATCTTAGTTATATAAATTCATTACTTCTCTTTCACACAGCTGTATTCTTGATGTCCATTTTGAAGAAAAAAGACGGTCACCATTATAAGAGCGTTTTCATTTTGTCATAGCTACTGTTTTCCCTTGAAGAGATTGTATTATTGTTGAAGCACATTTTATGGCATTTACCTTTCATTAAAGATTCACATTTGTACTTGTTCAGAGTCATATACAGCACTATGCCGCAATTACAACATCAAAGAGGCCTGCCAAGACCCAGGGGCCAATTGAAACCATTTTCCTTTGGTACTTGTTATTTAATGTTAATTGAGTATATGCTACAGTAATTTTGCTTTATTCTACTCCTTTTTGTCAGTTTAAGGGAAACACAGGTCTTAAATCATGCTATAAAAATCCCTTACACTGTAACAGTAGAAATTCAGATTTATCGTAAACATATCATATTTCTATAGCTCCATTGCTCTAAAAGCTTAATTCTGTTCAGAATTACCATTAGTTCTCTTTATTCTTCCTTCCTGTTTCCTCTGATTCTTTTTTACTGCAATAAGCTTGGTTTTAGAGCATCTCTCATTTCTATAAAAGTTCATTTTCTTTTAAATCACCGTGGTTCTTTTCATGCTTCTTTGTTGCTTTCTTAATATGCTAACAGCATTTTTCCGTGTTAATCTTTTACAATTGATGTGCTTTGACTTCTTCCATGTAAACTGTCTTCAGAGCTCAGGTTACTTTAGCAGGAGGCTAATTTGTGGGCAACACCACCATCCTAACTCCCAAGTAGAAAGTATTGGGAACATTTTAAAGGAATACGCTTGGAGTGTACAAATTCTCACCTTGACATGGTAACTAACATAAGCATGAAATGTTGATAAGCTCCAAACTGTTTTGTCCAGTTTTCTACCTTGCACATGACGTGGGGAAATGACTGCTCCTCAAATAAAATCTTGAATCAGGGCAAGTCAAGAGTTTGTAGGTGAAGAAAACTAATCACAAAAACAGGCATTACCAAAACTGACAAAACCAGCATTTGCCAATAATGCTTCAGCAGGAGCTCCTTCCAGTTCTTGCGGGGGAGAAGGAGACCACAAATAATGAGGGGCATTGCCGAGTCCAGCAGTTCTCCTTGCATCCACAAATTCCTGAATGATAACCAAAATGCCGGATATTTAGAGAAGCTATTTTTAAGTTTCAAAAGAAAAAGAAAAGTAAGTGTTGGACTATATCTGCATTAGAATTATATGGTTTACTATAGTAGGAAGTGTCAGTTGTATACCCTCGGCCAATCAAGAGACATTTTTATTTATATTTCACTTTGTATTAAAAGAATAAGTTCAGAGAATCCAAGACGGGATTTCATGACGTTTTATATTGATCGTGTTTTTCTTCCTTTAAAACCTTCAGAATCAGTGGTATAATATTTCGACAAGCATCTTTGTTGCTCCTTAATACATATGTCAAAAAGCCTCTCTATGTCTAAAAGCAGGATAAATGATCTATGTGATGTGATGTATGCATGGCCTAGGCTAACATACAAAATACAGAATCAGCAGGTAATCTGAATTTCAAAATCCAACAACTTCACCATATCAATCAAGTTAAAACCAAGATAAATAAGTTAATTCCAGAGTCTGACAATTGCAACAGGATGCCTGGTTTCTTTCACTTATTTATCTTTGAGCACCAGTTGGAGTTGATTTTTTTTTCTTTTAGTGTCTTTTTCATTTTTGGAGAGAGAAATAAAAATAAAAAGAAAAGACACAAAGCAAAGGAATGAAAGTTCCAAATCTACAGTGAAGGATTCTCAAGTACCTGGAGGAAAGAAGTAGCAAGAATACTATCTATCGAATCTTTGAATCTCATGGGGAAAACTACAGTCACCTTGTCTGCCTGCAACCAACAGCAACAAGTTTTTTATTTCCGACGTGATCTCAGCACACTCAAACTGACATTATATGATAGCATTAAAGCAGTCAACATTTTATGCAATGTGCAAGTGTTAATCAATAAGCAACATAGTTTCTAGTTTCCATCTCCTTTTTAACTTTTCGTGGTGGTGATATTGATGGGGATGGGCTTCAGATTGACGATAGATGTTAAGTAATGAGCATATTAGTATGGAAATAAACAGGGAAGAGGAAAATACACATGCACACATAGATGCATAGGAAAATACTACATTGAGCTGGAACTGATAAACCTTTTCCCGGTAAAACTTTTTTTTTTTGACCCAAAAGAAACAGTCAAGTGAAAAAAAGGAAAAATCAATTTACCTGAGGTACAACGAAAAAGGACTCATTTGGCCGGTGCACTAGGGAAATAAGCTTATTTAAATCAGATTTCACTGTCCTTGAGACAAGTTGTTTTAGGACAGCCCTCAGCGGTGCACCCTGTACAACTTCCCTAATAGATGCAATCTTTCCCAGGAGTGCTTGCCGGTGTTCTATCAAAGATAGCAAGAAGAAACATCAAATAAGAACAATAAGATGTACGAAAAGGAGGACACGAAATACATGAATTGGATGCTTGCATATAAGTATCCCAAGGCAAGATACCATCAGAAAAAAAACCACATGCATCTTCTGTATTTGAGCAATATACCATCAATCAAACAACTTGCAGAAAAGTAATAGGTAACCAGCTATATATTTATGGATACTATATGGAAGTTGAAATGCTTCCAACTGTTTATTATTTGTGTCCTAGTTGGATGAACTGTTGTAGTATTCTACTGACATTTTATTTAGAGGTTTTTCAAGGTACTGAACTCATATCTTAGAGGCTTCACAATGTGTTCGCTTGCTACATTCTGATTCAACGATCCATCTCAATTTTCGTTAGTTGGAAAATATAGCTTACCATCTTATTGCAAGAATTAGAAAATAATCAAATATCAAAACATGCATTCCAAGTAATACTCATAATGGATGGACTTGGACATGTCTTAAGTTGAACCAAATAGTTGAACCAAAATTGGAAGTTGAATTCGATAGCAGGACCAGAAAGACGAAATAAAGCAAAGAAATTATATCGTTCATTTTCAAAAGAAGGATTATTTATCCCTTAGCATAATCATGGTAAGCTCATAATGACCTTAAAAGGGTACTCAGTTGAACCTTCATCTGGAGGAAGTTTTGACAGGTTCAGTTTCACCGTGAGATTGAAACCATCCTTTGGAGGATCCAGAATATGTACTACCGTGCCATATGCAGCCTTTATGGCTTCTATTGCTTCTGGAGGAAGTCCCCCAAAAAATACAGTTTCTGGAGGTGGAGTGGGTAACGATACTGATAGCACTAAGAGATTTGGATTCTTCGTAGAAGCCTATAGAAGAGTTAAATGATCAAATAAGGAAAGTTTGCAGCCCTTAAATGTAGGTCAAAGGATGCAATGACATCCCATAGTAACAACACAAAACGAAACAAATACATTAAAAGCAAATAAATCACCTGAATATGATAACGAACATCATCGAATTCAATCCATTGGCAATCCAATTCAACTCCTTTCTCAAGACTGCACAAGCACCAATGAAATTTATTTGCTTGTTATGGAGGATAAGTAAATAAATTAAAGATCATGCAAGTAAGCATGTACTGGCATACATATTTGTTAAAGAACAGAAATCATTTACCTTTGGGACCGACACAAAATCTGACTTTCAAAAAGAAATCATAGCAGCATGATTTACCAAATTAATTGTCAGAAATTCGTAAAATCATTCAAGTGCTAGACAAGTGGAAATGATGGAGTAAATTTGGTCCAACGAGATACCACAAGTTCGAAACCTAGTTCGACCTAACATTAACATCAGTTTGCATAAATTTGTTGACAGGTACACGAGTATAATGTATATGTACATCATTATTCATAAAAGTGCAGTATAAATTAAACAGTCTAAATTTCAAAAGATTGCCTTTACATTTATATTACACGAGAAAATGAAAGTAAAACACACACTCATATTATATAAATAAGAAAGAAATGGTTAAAAGGAACAGTAAAAAAAAACCAAAGCAATTAAGAGGAACAAGTCAGGAACTTACTTCTGAACCCGAGTAGACAAGATTTGGAGGAGATATCTGGAGGGCGACTGCAACAGTATCATTGATTTCACTTGCTATTTGTGACCGTTTGGCAACAGAATCGCAATTTAGGATCAGATCGTACCTATATTCAATTTGTGCTGAAGGTGACAACTAATAAACATGTATCAGGCAAATTGAACCCTAAATTTCTTAGCTCGCCAGATTGTCTTTCAGATAATCGAATTTATCGTGCAAACTTTAGCACGGGATACATAATTCGCAAACGTACAAAGTAGGGAAATGAATAGCAGAGAGCATGAGAGTGAAAACAACGAAATTTATCGCTGGAATATAGAGGAAATGTGAACCCGCCCAATTTTTGGGATTTCAATTCTACATAGTGGAAATTACGTAAAAATGAGGTTTTAACTTTATTTAATCAAAAATTAGCTTTGAATTTCACAATTAATATTAATAATTATATTTTAAATTAAATTAATTTATATACCCACCATATCACCTACTCCCACCAGATTTCAACCCTAAACCCAAACGAGTTAATTTAATGAATGCTCACCATTCTTTAGTCTATATTACTACTTGCTCACTGAACAATAAAAGATTACCTGTTGCTCACCCATCTATCTAATATATTACCCGTTCGTCACCCGTTTGAATTCCATCAAATACAACTAACGGAATGTCCAACATGACAAATGGAAATCCTACGTGGTACTAACGGAAGTTAATTGAATCCTAGTGGGCCAAAATTGCAAAAGCCATGACATTTCATCATTTTTCCAAACAAATATACCACGAATGTTTTTCCCCCATTTTGAAATATCTCTCTCTCTCTCTCTCTCTCAAGTCAAGGCCCCAAATTCACACCGAATCCATGAACCCTAAAATTCGCCACCAAAATCCCAGGTAAAATATTGATGTTCAGAAACTACACACACAATTAACTCCAAAGAGAGGTTGATTAGTTGTTAGTGGAGCTCGGCATTTCGAATGA